GAGGGTTTTGAAGGGGCGGGGGGTGGGAGGTTGGGGGAACCAGGTGGTGGGTATTAGAGAGGGCATGGATTGCATGGAGCACTGGGTGTGGTGCATAAACAATGAATTCTGTAATGATGAAAAGAAATTAATTTAAAAAAACCATAAAGAAAATATATTTGCAGTACTACACTGTAAAAAAAAAAAAAAAAGAAATGGAAGGAAAAGTTCCAGACTTGTTCTATGAACACTACTGCTTTCCAAAACCAGACAAAGATCCCATCAAAAAGGAGAATTCTAGACCAGTATTCCTGATGAACTTGGATGCCAAAAGACTCACTAAAATACTAACCAACAGGCTCCAATTGGTGTATTTAAAGGATTATTCACCGTCTTGTTAATGTTGGCTATTCTAACTGTGTAAGGTGGTATCAATGTGGTTTTGATTTGAATCTCCCTGATAGCTAATGATGATGAATATTTTTTCATGTGTCTGAACGAGTGTTGGAGAGGATGTGGAGAAAGGGGAACCCTCTTACACTCTTGGTGGGAATGCAAATTGGTGCAGCCATGTTGGAAACCAGTGTGGAGATTCCTGAAGAAATTAAAAATAGAGCTACCTTATGACCCCGCAATTGTACTACTGGGTATTTACCCCAAAGATACCGATGTAATGAAAAGAAGGGCCATATGTACCCCAATGTTCATAGCACAATGGCCACAGTCACCAAACTGTGGAAAGAACCAAGATGCCCTTCAACGGATGAATGGATGAAGAAGATATGGTCCATATATACTACGGAATATTAAGCCTCCATCAGAAATGATGAATACCTAACTTTTATATCAACATGGATGGGCCTGGAGATTATGCTAAGCGAAATAAGTCAAGCAGGGAGAGTTAATTATCATATGGTTTCACTTACTTGTGGAGCATAAGGAGTAACATGGAGGATAGTAGGAGAATGAAAGGAAAAGTGAATTGGGGGAAATCAGAGGCGGAGACGAACCATGAGGGAGTGTTCTCTGAGAAACAAACTGAGCATTCTGTAGGGGATGGAGGTAGGGGGTTAGGTGAGCCTGGTGGTGGGCATTAAGGAGGGCACATATTGCATGGAGCACTGGGTGTGATGCATAAACAATGAATCTTGGAACGCTGAAAAAATAAGATTAAATTAAAAGAAAAAGAAATTGGGTGAGGAAAGGGGCCCAAAATGCCATTCATCCTAGGCCCCAAAGGCATAAATTTCATCTCGCTTGCTTGGAAAGTGAGACCCAAGGGTGAGGCTGGAAATTAGGCAAGACAGAAGAGATAGAAGAACCAGAAATTCTGAGTTTTCATTTATACTCAAGAAAACTGAGAGAAGAATTCAGCCTTATTTGTGGGCCCTGGGAACCATTTGGGCATTTATAGACTCTGGGGGATCTTTAGCCTCTGTCCCCACTATAGACATCACTTTCATCTCCTTGTATGCACTATTCCTCGCTACCTTCAACTCCATAGTAAGATATTATAACCATACAAATATCACAATATTCCATAGTGACCTCTGACAAGTACACAGACACTCCATTCTCTTTTACCTTTATCTCTGACACTCACTCACTTGGTGACATTGAGTCAGCATCTGCACTCTTCTGAGCCTTATGACCCCTATGTGTACGATGAGGAAATAGGACTTGCGCCCTCAGAGTCCTTCCACCCATGGAGATCAGCTTTGTGTTCTCTCCTGGACTGAGTTTGGGAAGGACACAGAATAAGTGGAAAAGCACCACTCAAGACATCTTGGTTGTTTATTAGAAATTTATTCCCTGGTCCCATTATGGGGTTCACCTGGCTCCTGACTGGTGGGATGGGAATTTGTAATGTAAATGCCTGATATTCAGCTTTTTCACTATAATGTAAATGCCTGACATTGACATTAAGCTTTTGAGTGCTGAGGCATCCATTTCAAACACATCCATCTCATATAGATACACCCCCTGCTATATAACACAGACACTAACAACACACTTAGGATAAGGTAACAGCTGCTGTCACCAATGAAGTTCTCCTTTTAGAAACGCCTCGAGCAACCCAGATAACTAATCACTGGAGTGACCCTGCTTCTCCCTTCCCGCACCCTAATTCCCACTTTTAAATTCACCAATAGAAAGTGAACTCATGAAACCTTAGACATTCCACACTTAGACCCAAATAAAGGGAGAGCCCCAAAGTATGCACTTTCTCCCCCTCTCTCTGTCCGCAGCCTTTTGTATGTGGCTCTCTGCCTTCCCATGCTCCCTCCAGGGCTTGTGAGCAAATCTTTTCTTAAGTTCCATAATGGTTTGGCAGAGGTGAGCCCTGTGATCATAATAAGAACCCAAAGGCCAGTGCAACCACAACACTGACCCAGTGGTGGTAGGGGGATGTCTCTGAGGGGAATGTCTGTGGGCATTACTTTGAGTAAATATGTCCCAAGGGCATCTCAGGCCTTCTTAGAAGAGACTATCACTGTCAATAGGCTGAGACCCACACCACAGATTCCCATAGGGCGCTCTGCTGGTAATCCTAAATTTTGTGACCATACAGTCACTCACTGAAGATTAGGCTGGCTTTGTCTGGCTTTTGCCCATTATATAGGACAAATGGAGAATAAAGCTTGGCCCAAAAGTGCAAACTATAGTTAAGGAAAGAAATGGGGACCCTACAGATGACATTTGCACTTTGAAGGGCATCTCTCCTTCTGCCAAGGGTGATGGACTCACTGGCACTGCAGATTCCCTATAGGAAAGCTGCCAAGTACTCCAGCACTCTCTCCAGAGCCCTTTCACCAGTCCCATCAGAAGCCAGCAACTCTACTGCCTATGGACCTGTACTGGGGTGTAGTCTCTCAGGCAGGTCTCTCCATCTTACAGTGCTTCATGTTTACAGAGTTTACATGAGATGGCAAACATTCCCTACAGGCTCTGCTGACATTCTCCACCACTCTCAAACAATAGGACCTTGACAAACACTCTGAAAACTCTGCAGATGGGCTGTTCCTCCCCCACACCCCACTCTATGGCAACACATTTATTCTTCAGCCTTAGTAGAAGAATAGGAACTACCCAAAGAGAAAGGGGAGAAGGATAAGAAGAAAGGGTGGGAAAGGGAGAAAGAGACACAAAGATCATGAGAAGCCCACAGAAAAAGAGAGTAAGTCAGACACCGACACAAAGAAACACAGAAAAACAGAGATACCAGGAGATCCCTAGAGACACATTGTCAGAGACAAACAAAAGGGGCATGCCACTCAGCATGCAGATAAAATAGAAAGTGAATGGAGAACAAGCACATTCCACAACTCTCAGTCATCAAGAAGAAGACCGCTGATGGTGACATTAACACCTAAGGTCACCTAGAAATTGAGACAAGCTTTGCCTGCTCCCCCTGGTTGACCAGAGGGCCCAGCCCACCCCACCCCAGCCCAGGCTGCTGAGGCTCAGGAGCCAGGCCATCAAAGACCCTTCCCCAGGGCTGTGTGCTATAGATGCCAGCTGGTCACAGTGATGATCTCAGGAACTTGGTGTTCCCAGAAGGAAAGGAGGTGGCTGGCTTGACTCCAGTTCTCACATCCAAGATACTGACTACTGAAGAATAGGCTGGACAAAGGCAGACAGACATTTTCATATTCTGGGATCACCAGAGGGGCCAGCGCTTCTTCAGAATGGAGTCCTCTAGACTTTTCAGCATCCTGGTCTTTTCTACTCTTCTAGTGAATGTCCAGGGACCTGGGCTCACTGACTGGATCTTTCCCAGTAAGTACTGGGGTCTCAGCCCTCGCCCTGGAGAGAGGGAAGTTTGCTGGGAGGAAGAAAGAAGGAATAAGACTTGAGTTGCTTCCCACCATTTTAGCCCTGGAACCAGGCTGGGACATATTTGGAATATTTCTTCCAATTTCCCTCTTTTTGGAAGATCACTTCAGTGAATGCAAGATTGCAGACCTGAGGCAAACCCCATTTTCAGCCCCTTTGAAGTGAAGGTCAGTTGGGGGGGTTGAGGGAAGAGTCACAGGATCCAGTGTTTATGGGAGGGGCTATAGGAATCTGAGAAGCCTAGGGGACCTCCCCCTCATCTCACAACAGAAACAGCCCCCTTTCTCAAGATATCATCTCTATCAACTCCTGATTCTTTCAAATGTAGTCCTATAAAGTATTCCTGCATCCCCAGGGGTGCCTTGCCTTTGGGGTAGAAGACAGCATCCAGAAGTTTCTTTGAACTGAAGACAGTAATACTCCATGACTTCATAGAAATAATGATAATTGCTACCACTTACTGAACATTTAGAAAGTAATGAGTTTGAGAGATCTGGATTCAGACATGGTGGGTCCAAATTCTAATTCCACCACTCAGCAGCTATAATCTTGGGCAAGTTACTTAAACTCCATGTGCTTCTGTCTCCTCCTCTGCAAAATGGGGATGTCAATAGAACTCAATGAGATAGCATTTAACGTGTAGAAAAGTGCTTGGCTTATGGGAAACAGTTGACAAATAGTAATAAATAGCTATGCATCAGTTCCTATGATTAGAGCTTTACACAGTTTGTCTCATTTCTTCCTCAATGACTGTAAGGCTAAAATGATTTTAAAAGTGAAAAAAACCAAGGTTCAGAAAGGTGAGTGGTAAGCCAAGAGGTAGAATTTAAATACCTGAGTCTCTGATGACAAGGTGAGGGATATTAATTATGTGCAATAGTGCCCACTCTCCCCGGCCCTGCCAGGAACTCGCAAACACTGACTTCTCAACCAGGCCAAAAATGACCAGATTAGCCTGGTCCAGTGGCTTTCAGTGGGGTGATTTTCCCCTCCAGTGTACATTTTCTGTCTGGAGACATATTTGGTTCTTTAACTGGGGACTGCTATTGGCATCCAGTGGAAAGAGGGCCAGGCTGCTGCTCAACATCCTACAATGCCCAGGGCAGCCCTCCTCTCCCGTAAGTAATGATGAGGCCCTAGTGGCAAGGTTAAGAAATCCTGCCTTAGAGGGAGTAAGTGTAGAGTGCGGAACAAAGGATGGGGTGAGAAGGTAGAAAGTAAATGGTGTTCAGAAGGGAGAGTAGTGTGGGCAGTGTTGGGAAATACATGAGAACACCCTGAAGAAAAGGTCTCCTTTGGATGAGCAAAGAGAAAGCAAGCTTCCCCGACTCCTCTGAATTGCCTCAGGTTGGGAGAAGAGTGGGCACTGTGCCCTCCAACATTCATGGTTGTAAAACTGTCCTTTTCCTAGGGAGATGCCCCAGAATCCGAGAGAAATGTGAATTCAGAGAAAGGGATATCTGTACGAAGGACAGACAATGTCTGGACAACAAGAAGTGTTGCATCTTCAGCTGTGGAAGAAAATGTTTAGACCTCAACCAAGGTAGTATTCAGAGCTTCAGAATTACCAGCCCCTCTGCCCATACCCTCACCTTCTGGCTATGTGGCAGCATTGCCCCTTCTTTACTAAGGACCGGTCCCTGAGCAAGACTGCTGGGTTGGGGAGACCTGCAATTTAGAGCCGTCACTGCCCCTGATATATGTGTGTGACATTAGATAGTATCTTCATCCTGTCTGGGCTTTGGTTTCCCCAAACAGAAGATGACTATAGGATGGTAGCCGAAAATCTTGTGGTTGTTTTAACTCTTGTGATTTTCTTTTTGTTTCTTTGGATTGATGATTTTCTGAGTCCCCTCATGGCTATTGTTGGCACATTGTTGCTGGAAGTGATAACTAAGCTACTGGTATTTACTAGCTTTTTGCGGCAGAGGGGCCACTTCTCTGCTTATTGAAGTCCAACTCAGCACCAGGAAACCTCCCTCGACTACTCCAGACCAGAAGGCTTTTCCTTTGCTCCTGCAATCTTAACTCCATGGTCATATCCTTGGGTTCCAAATAGACAATCATAGACTATCTGGAGTAAAGACTCTCTTTGCTCTTCAATTAACAAATATACATCTAGTGTCTCTGAGATGCATAATAAGATTAGACCAGTATGGTCAGGGAAGTAAGGAAGACTTCCCTGAGAAAGCAAATCTGGAGTCCTGTTCAGAAGGATGGGTAGTAAATTTAGGCATAGAGTCAGTGGGAGGGCTTTTGCAGGTACAGGGAAAACATGCACAAAATCTCAATGGTGGGTCCTGGAGGCCAGGGAGCAAGAGTACATATAAGCATGGTACAAGGGAAAGGATCTTAGGTAGGTAGGGTCTGGTGGGCTAGCAACTCACTTTGATCTCAAGAGGGGTGGAAACCAACTGAGGTGGACAGCAACGTAATTGGGTTTTTAAATGCACACACAGAGGAGGAACAGAGTATCTTCAAGGAATTCAGGAAGAGATGATATGGTAGCTTGGACCAGAGAGGTAGGTGAGGGGATGGAGAGGAGTGGGGTGTGTTTGAAAGATGTCTAGGAAGTAAAGCAAGCAGGACTTGACAATGGAGCAGCATGGCTAGGAGGATGGTAAGTTGTTCATTTGCCTAAGGTGAGGGATTCTGAATCCATGCTTCCTGAGCTCAAGTCTTAGCTCTGGTTTTTTAACAGCCTGGACAAATTAACAATTCTCCCCCACTGTCCCTCAGTTTCTCCAGATAATGAAAGGACCAGTGTTAAAGGTTATCTGGAGGATCAGGTAGGTTGATATGCATGAAGTACTTAGAGCAATGCCTGGCAAAATATAGACAGATGACACATATTAGTTTAAATTAATTGTTATTCTTTTTTTTCATTATTTTCTTTATTTATTAACATATAATGTATTATTTGCCCCAGGGGTACAGGTCAGTGAATCATCGGGCTTCCACATTTCACAGCACTCACCGTAGCACATACCCTCCTCAATGTCCATAACCCAGCCACCCTATCTATCCCTACCCCCTACCCTTCAGCAACCCTTAGCTTGTTTTGTGAGATTAAGAGTCTTTTATGGTCTTTCTCCCTTCCAATCCCATCTTGTTTCATTTTTTTCCCTCCCTACCCCCTACAACCCCCTGCCCTACCTTTCAAATTCCTTATATCAGAGAGATCATATGATATTAATTATTATTCTTGACTGGGAGCTCCTAAAAGGCTCCACCCCTTTTCTTTGTCTCTTAAAGCATCTTGCACACAGTAGGTGCTCAATGAATGGCTTATTTAGTTCAGGTCAGGATGCATTTGGTTTTACCCTCAACATTCTGCAGGATCCTATACTGAATCAGACCACCTACTAGGAATGGGGCTCCAAGATGAAATCAGACACAATCTATGCCCCCTTGGAAGCTCACAACCTCATGGGGAGACCAAGGATGTAAACCAGTAACAATCATGTACATGAGATCAGAAACATGGTGGAACAATGCAGGATTGGTCCAGGAACCTGTGGGGGTGTGGGGTGTATATGGAGGCAGTGATATCATAGAGGAACTGATGTCGAGGTTTTGAAGAGAGAGTGGGAGTGTTGCTAACGAACAACAGCAGGGTGGGCAGAAGGAATGTACAGTGAAAGGTGTAGGTGTGTGGGATAGCAAAGGGTGTTGAATAGTGCAGGAGCATGTACCTCAAGTGGTACTGTGGAGGGGGTGGGGCAGATCCACAAGCAGGAGTCAGACTACAAAGAGCCTGTGAGTCATGGGAAGACTTGCCATGAAGTCAAGGTCTTAGCTGTGGAATGACGTGATCAGCTTTGTTTCAGGTTCATTAGGTCCTTCCCCCTGGTGGTCTGCACAAAGGATTGATTGGAGGGGCTAGGGACAGGGGCAGGAGATCAGTTCCTGGCTATCCCAACAGCCCAGGTACGAGACATGGAAGATGAAAGAGAGTGGCAGAGAAGTGAGCCAGAGTTTTCCCTCGAGGAACTCTTGAGTTTAGTTCAGATCTGCATTCATTTGCTAAGGTTGCTATAACAAAGGACCACAAGCTAGGTGGCTGAAACAGCAGAAATGTATTGTCTCAGGGTCTGCAGGATACAAGTCCAAGGTCAAGCATTGGCAAGGCAGGGTCTTTCGCAGGTTATCAGGAGAACATCTGTTCCATGCCTCTCCCCTAACTCGTGGTGGTGTGCTGGCAATCTTTGGCAGTCCCAGGCTTATAGACCTCTGCCTTCAGGTGAACATGGTGGTGTGTGTGTGTGTGTGTGTGTGTGTGTGTGTGTGTGCGCGCGCGCGCGCGCATGCATGCAAAGTTCCTCTTTCTATAAAAAGACTAGTCATATTGGGTTAGGAATGCATCCTCCTCCAGAATGACTTATCTTAACTAATTACATCTGCCGCAACTCTGTTTCCAAGTAGGGTCACATTCTGAAGTACTGAATGTTAAGACTTCAACATATGAATGGACATGGAGTGGGTGGGGCAGAACACAATCCAACCCATCACAGGACTGAAGCTAACTGCAGGATGAAAGGTGCTTGACCATCTAAAAAACAGCCCCTGCTTTACTCATGATCCCATAATCTCTCTTCCTGGCATGATTTGCAGGGCAGAGTATGTGCTTATATTTTGTCCTTTTCAAGACACTTCCATATCTTTTAACCATTCAGCATGTATTTACTGAACAGCTACTCTCTGCCAGGCACTGTGCTAGAAGCTGCACATTCAGGTCCATGAGGGCAGTCTTACTTGTGCTTTGCAGAGTGGGAGTTGCATTCTCATTTTCCAGAAGAGCAAGTCAAGGCCAAGACAGGTCACAGGGGAGGTCGACGTGCACACACTGAATTGGGAGCAGAGCCTTGAAATAAGTCTCCTCACTCTCAGGGAAGACAATGGGGATGGTGACCATGAGGAATGGGGGGGGATGTTCTCTGGGGCTGCAGAACCCCCAACAGCTCCACTCTGGGGTCTCCCTACAATGTGTACCATACACCAGTGGAGCTGGGCTCCTGAGGTGTAATAAGGGAAAAGAAGCCTGCTCTGTTCCATGTCTGGTGGTTTGCAGGGGTAACAATATCAGTTGGTCCATGGGGCTGGGCACTCATAATGCTCAAGTCTGGTATCTCCCTACAGATATATGCTCCATGCCCAAAGAACCTGGCCCCTGTATGGCATTTTTCCAGCGTTGGTGGTACGATAAGGAGAAGAATACCTGCTCCAAGTTCATCTATGGCGGCTGCCAAGGGAACAACAACAACTTTCAGTCCAAAGCCATGTGCCAGAACATGTGCCCCAGCAACCGTGAGTTGAGTACCCGGGGCATCCTGTCCTCACTTGGGCCCTTCCTACAGGCCTGTGTGCGGCTGCTTTGTTCAGGCATGGGCCATAGCCTTGACAAGGCAGGTGCTGACAGAGCCAACTCCACTTAGAGATGAGCATGCACCTGGCAGAGGGATGGACAGTGGTATTCTGGGAACTGAGGTTGGGAAGGACGTGGCCATGATCAAAGCTGGCAAGTATGAGGGGTGGAGGGAGGATGCAGACACGGTGAAATCCCAGAGACCAGCTCCAGAGAAGTCACAGGACATCCAGCCTAGGACTGGATCATCAGCACTCTATCTCGACCACAGCTCCGTTCTCCTATAAGAACGAAAGCTATAGCTCCCCAGAGAAAACCCACTTTGTTTTCACCTTCTATGCTAAGATGCATGAATGTCACTTCAGGACTCACTCTGAAGATAAGCTGAATCCAAGATGCTTAGCAGGTCTTGTCCTACATTCTCACCAGGCGCCAAATCATCAGTGCATAAGGATGCACCTGAACAACCACCAGGAGTTGGCTCGTGATCCAAGGCTCTGTCCGTGCTCCTGACCGATGCTCCATATTGGCTTCCACTCTTCAATTCCACATTCCAAGGGCTCAGCTCTTCTCCAGGCAGAGTTCTGGGATCTGCATTCCCCTTTCTCTACCTCAGCGTCTTTTCACACATGGTCCCATTTTTTTTTAACTCCGTCCCTATGTTTCTTTCCTATATGTCCAATGTCTAGAACCCCCTGTCTATACCTGCATATCTCCCAGTTTTCCCCAATAAAGTATGCTGTTTAGTCCTGTGCCTCTGAGGCTAAACAATTCATATCGGTTGGTACATTACACTTTGCAGAGAGTAAAGGTTCATTGAAGCTTTTGTGACACCAAAAAAGGGAGTGAAAACTGTCAGAACCTTGAGAGTTCGGAGCTCCAGGAACATTGTGATCCTCCTCTGTTTCTCAAAAAAATTGCAGGACCCTTTTAAGACAAGGGTCTATGGGCATTTCCTTATTTTGGAGACCCCAGAAACCAATCTTAGGACAAGGACATGGGTAGAGGACTTTACTTGGGAGATCTCTCAACACACATAAGGTAGGGTGAGGTAGGTGATACAGACAAGAGAGGAGTCAATTATGAGCTGGTTACCATGGGGGCAAATTGCAGCTTACTGCCCCTGGGGACCTTCTAAGGAGTCCTGTAAAATATGTGTCCAGATGTCTGCATTCATCTCCAGTGATGAGGCAGCGGAGGCATTTACCCCTTAATTCCCATCCCTTCCTGGATGCCTGGGCCTATGAAAGTTCTTCCTCCTCCAGATTGTTCCCCACACAAGCTGACAAGCTGTCAGGGAGCCAGAGCAGTCCTATAGCACAGAAGTAGAGACTCTGACACTTGAGATGGGACGCTATCATGGTACACTGGCCACAATAAGGAGTCAAAAACTAACACAAGCTACACTGCAGACGGACCTCCAAAGCATCAAGTGATGCAGAAAAAGCCAGTCACAAGATGTCCTATACTGTGTGATTCTATTTATAGAACATCCAGAATAGGAAGATCCACAGAAATAGAATGTAGGTTACTGGTTGCCGGGGCAGGATTAGGCTGGGGAAAATAGTGACTGCTAGTAGGTAGAGGTTGTCTTTTTTTCTTCTGTCTTTCTTTCCTTCCTTCCTTCCTTCCTTCCTTCCTTCCTTCCTTCCTATCTTCCTTCCTTCCTCCCTTCCTTCTTTCTTTCTTTCTTTCTTTCTTTCTTTCTTTCTTTCTTTCTTTCTTTCTTTCTTTCTTTCTTCTTTCGTTTTGTTTCTTTAAGTAATCTCTACACCAGAGGTGGGGCTAGAGCTTCTGAGATCAGGAGTCATATGGTCTTCTAACTGAGCGAGTCAGGTGCCCCTAAGGTTTTCTTCTGGAGTGATAAAAATACTGTGGAACTAATAGAGGTGGTGGTCACACAACATTGTGTAGGCACTTAAAAACCTCTGATCTGTCCACTTAAAAATGGTTCAGCTTATCTGATGTTAATTCCACTTCATTTTTTAAAACAATTAGAAAAAAAATGTGCACTAGATCTCTCTCCTACAGCTGCAAGCGAAATTAGAGGCAAGCCAAGAACATGTCTTATTAACACTTCACACCCTAAGTTGGAAAGTTCAGGGAAGAATCTTCATGCCCCATGGCTGCTGCTTCTGAGGTCATAACTAATATTTAGTATTTCCTCCTGCATCACCCATTCCAAATTGCACCCAACAATAGAGGCTCCCCATTAGCTCTGGCATCCTCTCCTGCTTTCAAAGCACCATGATCTTGACATACACTCTCTGAAGATTTGGTTCAACCTGGGATCAACCTGGCTCCTCCAGACCACATGCTACTCAGGGTAACATCTTTACTTTTTGACGATGGTTAAGGAAAAGGAGTGGTCCAAAGAGATGAAAAAGGAGAAGAACAGAAGGGAAATGAAAGGCAGGGAGAAAGAGACCCAGACAGAGACTCACAAGAAAAGAGAAAAAGGCAGGCACAGAGTGAAAGGAGGAGGCACAGAGAGAACGAAAATAAACAGTGTGAGAAAAACAAGCAGACAGACAAATAGATATGTCAGGAGAAGTATAAGATTGGAAAGAAGAGAACTGGGATATTATTGACTCTAAACTCCCCCTGGATGATGGAAGATGCTGAAATTGAACACCCCCTTCTCCGAGGGAGTCTAGAAGTCCCAGACAAGCTTTGGCCCTCTCCCTGGCTGACCAGAGAGTCAGAGAACCTCAGCGAGCTGAGAAATAGAAGCTGCCTGTGAAGGGCCCTTTCCCCCAGTGTCGGGGCTGTGGGTGTCAGCTACTCCCACTGATGGCCTCGGGGACTTGGCATTCCCCAGTAGAGGGAGCGTGGCTGTCTTGTCTTCAGTGATATGTGGCTCCAGGGCCAGGGCAGCCAAAGCTCAGAAGCAGGAGCTACTGGGAGCAGTTCCTAATTTTGGCGCCACCAACCAGGCCAGTAGCTCTTAAAATGGGGCTCTTGGGACTTCTGCCAGTCCTGGCACTCTTCATCCTCTTGGGGGGAGTCCAGGAACCTGAGCTCGTTGAGGGGTTCTTTGGCAGTAAGTACTGGGGACTAGGGCCTCCCAGTGGAGATATGGAAGTTGCTGGGAGGGAGGAACAAAAAGTTCTAAGGATGAGGAACACCTCCCCCACTCAGCCTGAGGTTTTAGATGGGAGAAAGGGAGATATTCACAGTCTTTTTCTCTCAGAGCCCTACCATCTTCTAAGATGCCTCCTGTGAGTGCAAGAACCTGGGTCTCTAGCAACAGACAGCCCACTATCATTATGAGAGGGATTCCTTCTGGAGGTGCCTGGACCTGGAGCTTATGAGATGGACTAAAGGTGCTACTGGGACCTTATGGGCCTTTCCTGCAAGAAAGCTCCCTCACCCTAGCTCCACCCTTAGCAGCTTTGAATCTTCCAGTTGCAGCCCCCAAAAGTCTCCCCACACTCACACCACCAGAGGGTCCTTGCCTGTGGATTATAGAATGGTCTCTTGAAGTCCCTTGGAATGCTGAGATATGCAGACACCCTTAAGCAGCAGCTAAAAATACACTGAGCACTCAACAGTGAAGCCATACATTGTAGGTTTCAAATCCTGGCTCCTCTCCTTAGTAGTAGCTGTGTGACCTTGGGGAAGTTCACATAACCACCCTGTGCTCCAGATTCCTCTGTTTATAAAATGTGGATATTATGAGACTGATGTGCTGCCTACTGCGCTAAGGAGGCACCTTAAAATGTGGATATTGATAGGACTCACCAATAGAAATGCCACAAGGATTCAGGAGAAGAGAACAAGAGCACAGGAAGCACCTCGTTAATATTAATTATCATTATTGTGTCCCAGGCCGCCTGACAATGGCTTCCAAGATTTGTCACCTAATCCTTGAAACAACTCTATAGTGAAGGAATCAAGGTCCAAAGATGGTGCCTGCCATTCCAAGGGTGACACAGAAATTCAAAAGCCTAGCCATCTGACTCCATAAATGGAAATCTCAGTCACCTGGAAAAGTGCTAGCACCCTCGCCCCCACCCAGGAAACATCCAATACAGGAAGGCCAAGTGACCAGAGTAGTCCTAGCAGACAGCATCCTTTTCCCTGAAACCTCATGAGTGGTGGGGGTGGGAGTAGGACTTGTTTAGGAACTAGATGGGCAGTCATTACAGGGTTGGGAGTGGGACCAGTGCTGTGAAAATCTGGAGTCATCTGAAGATTACTAAGTCTTCCTTAACTCTGCAGTAGTGCCCTGGGTCTGACCATGGAGGGTTCTGGCTTTCCTTTTTCCTTTTTCCCCTCCCACAGAGAGGTGTCCTCAAATCAGGGTACCATGCAATTACAGAGAAATCGACCAGTGCGGGAAGAAGAAACCATGCCCCAAGAAGATGACGTGTTGCAGTTTTAACTGTGCAAAGAAATGTTTAGATCTCAAGGAAGGTAACACACAAAGCCCCTAAACTATCCAGTGTCCTCCCTGCTGACCCCTACTCTCTGCCCATCAGCACTGGCAGTGTCGGACCTCTCCCCTGGTTCCCTGATGGCTGGTCTATGACCAAGAATCTGGGCGCATCTTCTACTTGACCCAAATCCTAGAAGCATTGAACTGGGTGGGGTTTATTTAATTTCTGTCCCTACTCAGGTATATGATGTGTGTAAGAGTTTTTGTTGTATGGACTTTAGTTTTCCCATTTGTAAGAAAGAAGCAGGCATTAGACCACAAGTTTTCTGGCCTATTCTGTGATCCTCTGAGGTGCCAAGTTCCCACTGAGGTCCCATCAAATGCCAGCATGGTGTCAGGTGATATGATAGTTATAAGAAACAGGTATACGATTTATAGTTCCTGGTTCCGCCCCGCAGGCTTCTCTGTCATATAAATCCAGGATGCCTTCCCTAACCATTTTTTACCTCTTCCACACTTTCTCTTGTGCTCGTATGATTAAACTCTAAAGAGGACGATCAAAGACCATTCATTCATTCATTCATTCAACAAATATTTACTGGTGTCCCTTATACACATGATAGGCTCCACTTGCTTATTATAGGACAGAGGGGCAAGAAAGGTTTTCTCAGGAAAAAGATCTATGATTTAAGATCTGAAAGATGGGCAGTAAGTAGACAAAAATTGGAGGGAAGAGCTCTCCAGGCACAACTAATAGCATGTGCAAAGGCCCTGTGTGAGGAGACAGCATGCTCAGGCCTAGAAATTCCAGAGATCAGAGAGTGAGCATGCCTGTGTAAGAGAGAGAAATATCAGGATGGTGAGGCCATGTTAGATAGGCAAGGATCTGACAAGGCAGGGTCTTGCTGGCCGGATTAAGGGGTCTGGTCTTGATCCTAAGAGCAACATAATATCTAAGTTCAAATCCCTTGCCACCTATGTGACCTGAGGAAGTTACTTAGCCTCTCTGAACTTCTGAACTATCATCTGCAAAATGAGGACAATAAAAGGACCTAGCTCCTCAGGCTATATGTCAATATATATGTCAAGTGCTAAGAACTTTGATAAATGGTGTCATTGTTGTGCTTCAGACTATGAGGTCCTAAACAACTCTATTTGTACCTCATAGTACTATGCACAAAACAGTTGCCCATTAAGTATCTCTTGAAGTTCAGGATATGTTTGATTTTGTACTGTGAAAATTCCTGAAGCATCCTCTCAGTGCCAGATTATCTGCTAGGAACAGGTGTACCAAGATGACATAATGTGCAAACCTCACTTTCTGATGGAGGAGTAAAAAAAAAAATGAACAAATAATTATGTGGAAGTGATCAATGTGTGGGCAAGAATGAAAAGCAAAAAAAAAAAAAAAAAAAAAAAAAAAAATGGAGCCAGGAGAGACATCATAGAAGAGTTTGATGTGTGGAGTGTTTTGAGGGATAAATAGGAGTACACCTAGTAAGCAAGAGACGGGTGGACATTATGCATGTGCAAAAGCATAGAGAAGTGTAACAGCATAATATCTTTTTAGCAAGTTCATGCTGCCCTAAAAATATTATGCCCTTTCATTCTTCCAAGTCTTTGCAGAATATTCTCTAGCAAGGCAGGCACCCAAGCAATACTGCTCTGCCATCTCCTTGCAGACATATGCAGTTTGCCAGTGAGTATTGGCCTCTGCCTGGCCAGCATTCCACGCTGGTGGTACAATAAGGAAACCAAAACCTGCACCAGTTTCAGCTATGGTGGTTGCACTGGGAACAATAACAACTTCCAATCTGAAGCTGCCTGCAGGGCTGTCTGTTCAGAAGCATGTAAGTCTCAGGGGTCCCATCTCCCATGCTCACCTGCACAGGTGGGAGGTCTGGGTGTTGGTTGGCCCATTCCAGGAAGCTGGCAGGCCTGGGGCTGGTAGAACCAGTCATCTCTGAGGGGCAAATAGGGGATGCTTTGGGAAAGAGAAAGTGTGAAGAGGAGCAGTAGTCAAAGGGAAGTTGGCAAGTATGAGATGGACAGTGGGTGCAGAACGAGGAAGCAGAAGGGGTTGAGTGTCCAAGACTATGTCAGAAGAAGGCCAACTGAACCAGTCCAGTGCTGGGCACCATGCACTCATCATTCAATCTCTTCATTTTTCTTTTTAAGGTGCTTAAAGCCAGGACAACCACATGCTTTATTGAGCAAACTGAGAAAGTTTTGAGAGTGAAAGGAGATACCACTAATTATTACACTGGGACAACAGGTTTAAACTGGGACTTGACTGAAAAGCCCAGAGCACACCAGCACACTATGAGCCCCCCAGATCATTCCACTTCTGGTTTCTCTTCTGTGAAAAGATATAAAAATGACCCCATCTCCTTTGTTCCATTAATTATAAGATTTGGTTCTTGTATGAGTAGGGCCCAAGCATCTCATCCTTTTCTATTCTGCTGTCTTGCAGAGTCACCATCTCCCTCAGTATGATAAAGAGAACTGGAACAACCTCCAGAATTTGGCTCATAATTCAGGGCTCTCTCCATGTGTGCCTGACTGATGCTTCATAACAGCTACCAAGACATTGACTGTTCCAAAAACCAAACCCCAGGATTTGCTTACTCCCTTTCCTCCAGCTCAGCTTCTCTTCAAACACAATGCCCTTCACCCTTTAACACTTTCTCAGTGTTTGATCCTATCTCTTCACTCTTATGGTACCTGTGTATCCTTCAGAAGCCTCCAGTTTCCCTAATAAAGTGTTCTGTAGGTCTGATGTTTCTGAGAATGAATAATTCACATCTACTCCCTCTGGCCTGTGTAAAATTGTCACGGAATGCTTAGAATGGAACCAAGCTTGCTCGGGTGAGGGAAAATGAGACTTGAGCTCCATTAACTTCGTGGGAGATACATCTCTGAAAAGGCTGTGGGTTTGTTTCCTAGACTTTCCATAAAGGATATACTTCCAGTGTCCAGCACAGACAGTACAAAATAGAAGATAACTGTGGAAGAGACATGAAAGGAGGAGATGGGTCAGCAAAGAGATGCAGAGGAAGGGAGAAGAGAGAGAGTTGGAGGAGAAAAAGATACTGAATGATGGCACAGTTTTAAAGCAGGGACCTACAATTCTTTCACTCCCTTCAGCCTAGTGGTAGAAGCCTTGGAGTCCACAGCCCCTCCCTTTGAATCTTGGCAAACTGTGGGACTGCTTTGACTGGTAGAGTAAAAACAGATGATGCTGTGTGACTTCCAAGGTTAAGCCAGAAAAAGTGCACTCCACCCTCTTATGATGCTTGTTTCGGGGACTGCATGAGGCAGTTGCCATGTAAGAGGGCCAGTTGCCCTGAGACAACCATGCTGGGGAGGCCCAAGCATGTGCTCTGGTTGACAGCCCCAGACAAGACCAACCTGAGAGCCAAGGTCTGTTGCCAGTCACATGAATGAGCTTCCAACCCCATGGAGCTTCAGATGACTATGGCTCCAGCAGACATCTGACTGCAACCTGGTGAAGACCCCAGGAGAGAACCACTGAGCTCATTCCCTCCCAAACTGCTCACCCATAATACGGTGAGAAATAGAAAATGTTCTGGGAAATTTTATTCACAGCAATAGGTAGGTAATTAGAAGAGATGGGAAGGAAGTGAAAGGAAGAGGAGAGGCAAGGAGGGGAGGGATGGAGGAGAGGAAAGGCATAGAGAAGTCAAGGGGAAGGTAAGAAGGAGTCTCCAAAGGACTAGGCAAGATAAGAAGGTGCCAGGCTTAAAGAGGCAGCCCCACAGCAGGAGGCTTGGCCACCACAACACACTAAAACCTGGATGTATCTTTCAAATGAGTTCATTGTCTGGTATAACTTGAATCAGGAGGCTCTAAAGAGAGTCTGGGATCCACTTACTATTGAATAATTCCCTTGCTCTCCCTTGCTCTCCACGTCTCTGTTTATCTCCCTTTTATTTTTTTAATGATTTTATTTATTTGACAGACAGAGATCACAAGTAGGCAGAGAGGCAGGCGGAGGGAGAGGGAGAAGCGGGCTCCCCGCTGAGCAGAGAGCCCGATACGGGGTTTGATCCCAGGACCCTGAGATCATGACCTGAGCTGAAGGCAGAGGCTTTAACCCACTGAGCCACCCAGGCACCCCTGTTTATCTCTTTTTTAAAAAGGTTGGTTAAACTGATGAGTATTTCTGAAAATGCTGTTAGCAAATACTACATTAGAATTACTTGAGGGTGGGGAAGGGCTGTCTAAAATAGAGGTCCTCAAGGAACTGCAGATGCCGCTGCCCCAGAGCAGGCTGTGTCACCCATCAACAGGCAACCTCACCATGTTCTTCAACATGGCTATGGATGGTGAGCCCTTGGTTTGGGTCTCCTTCCAGCTATTTGCAGAGTTCCAAAGACAGCAGATAATTTTAGTGCTCTGAGCACTGGGGTGAAAGGATTTGGTTGTAAAGATTCCTGATCTCTTAGGATTATTCCAGGATTTATGTGCCAGTGTGGTGATGTCAGTTGCTATAATGGCACTGGTGACCAGTCCATCTATGGGGAGAAATTTGTTGATGAAAATTTCGTCTTGGTGCCTGGGTGGCTTCGTCTTATGCCTGGGTGGCTCAGTGGGTTAAGCCTCTGCCTTCAGCTCAGGTCATGATCTCAGGGTTCTGGGATAGAGGCCCACATCAGGCTCTCTGCTCAGTGGGGAGCCTGCTTCTCCCTCTCTCTCTGCCTGCCACTCTGCCTACCTGTGACCTCTCTCTCTCTCTCTCTCTCAAATAAATAAATAAAATCTTTAAAAAAATTTTTCATCTTGAAGCACATGGGTCCTGGCATCTTGTCCATGGCAAATGCTGGACCCAACGCAAAATGTTCCCAGTTTTTCATCTGCACTGCCAAGACTGAGAGGTTGGATGAAAGTATGTGATCTTTAGCAAGGTAAAAGAGGGCATGAATATTGTGGAATCCATGGAGCACTTTGGGTCCAGGAATGGGAAGACCAGCAAGAAGGTCACCGTGGCTGACTGTTAACAAATCTAATACATTTGACTTGTGTTTTATCTTAACTACCAGACCATTCCTTCTGTAGCTCAGGAGAGCACCCCCTCACCCCCAACTGTCAAATGTCCAATAATTTTTGTGCTCTTGCAGTTCTACACAGTCCACGTTTTCTTTACTTCCCTCCAAGTCTAGTGGGATTTCAGAGTTAATATGATTATGAAATAAAAACAAAACAACAACAAAATAAAAATTAAAGATGGGTCCTCCAGATCCCATATATGCATTTTTTAACAAGTACAGCCAACTGCTTTTAAAGTTCCAAAACCTGTGAATTGCATGATATTTAAGGGCCAATCCATCAGTGGGGAAAAAAATAATAAAGGCTTACAAAGTCTATTGATGTCTGCTCCTTGTATAGAAGGAGATCAGGAGAAAATATTAGAATCATTAAATGTGGGGAGGATCAGGAAAAGGTTGTGCAGAAGACCCCGAAGTCCTGCTAGTCTGGCAGTTTTGCAGAGTGACCATCAAGCCAAGTGGCCCTCAGGTTTGCATCTCCTTCATTTACTTGGCTTTTGCCTCCACATATCTGTAAGAGTTAGTCTGTTCTCCCAGGAAGCCTATCTTTGTGCATCTCTATGATCTAGACCAAATTTGCAACAAGTCATCACTGATCTGCATCCTGTGAGAAGGGGGAAGTGAGAAGAGCACTTATCTGCGAATAAAAATATCCAAATACAAATCCCAACTTTTCCCTTTGTTGAAGTATGACCTGGTTGGCAGAGGGTAGGGTGGAGGGATGCTTCTCTCAGGACCTCAGTCTCCTATTCATATGATGAAGGTGATGGGTTAATAATATCAAGGAGTACTTCTCAATTTGAGGAACTATGGCAGCTCAGGAACCCAGCCAAATCTAGTAAGCACCTGATGCTTATCTGTCCCATTAGTACCTTTCAGTCCTTGATTAATGTTGACATACATGAATGACTGGAACAAAATCATTCTGTCCTAGAGGGCAATGGATCAGAGCGGTCCTTGGAAATGGTCAGAATGTTCCTTGAAGTTTATAGATTCTGCTTACCTGCTGTCCTCAGGAATGAACTCAGAACCCTAAGGGCTGAGCACAGAGAACCCTCTGCCTTATAAGGACCTCAGTGGAGATGTTTTTCTTTGTTAACAATTTGCTCATTGCTCTGCCCATTAGAACCCAGAGGACACCTCTAGTGAAATCTTCAAGTGTTACTCAGGGTGTCATACAGATCCAGAACTCCTCATCTTCCCTCTCCTTCTTATTCTCTCCTTGAAGCTCTCTCCAGAGCCAGAAATGCCTAGAGGAAGCTAGAGATGGTTTTGAAACTCAGGGAACATTGAGTTCCACAGCCCCAGTCACCCTCCTTTTTTAAAACCCGTGTACAAATGGAAGCTTCTAGTAGGAAATAGACTCATCCAAGATCACATAGAAAATCAATAACAAACTGGAGACAAAATCCAGGTTTGAAGGGTAGCAAGGTGTTGACAGATTATACAGCCTAGTTGGAAATCAGAATGGATATAGTGGCTATTTGTTAGTTGTTTTGTCAATATTCCATTCTCTTTTTTTTAATGTTATGTTAGTCACCATACAGTACATCATTAGTTTTTTTTTAACTTTTTTAAAAATTTAATTTGATTTTTTTTATTTTTTATAAACATATAATGTATTTTTATCCCCAGGGGTACAGGTCTGTGAATCGCCATGTTTACACACTTCACAGCACTCACCATAGCACATACCCTCCCCAATGTCCATAAACCCACCCCCCTCTCCCGACACCCCTCCCCCTAGCAACCCTCAGTTTGTTTTGTGAGATTAAGATTCACTTATGGTTTATCTCCCTTCAGATCCCATCTTGTTTCATTTATTCTTTTCCTACTCCCCAAACCCCCCATGTCTCATCATTAGTTTCTGATGTAGTGTTCCATGATTCATTGTTTGCATATAACACCCAGTGTTCCATGCAATACATGCCTTCCTTAATACCCAACACTGGGCTAGCCCATACCCCCTTCCCTCTAACAATTGAAGAAGTCTCTACCAGGAGTCTTTCTTTTAAAGATTTTATTTAATTATTTGAGAGAGAGACAGAAAGAGCACAAACAGGGGGAGGGGCAGAGGGAGAAGGAGAAGTAGACTCCTTGGTGAGCAGGGAGCCCAA